AAGACAGAGCAAAACCAAGCAACAATGTACAACAAAACAGCAACAACAACAAACCACTAACAACAAATTAAAACACCAAGTTAGTTCAAGGATCGTTGGCCTTCTTGTGTACTTCTTAATGAAGGAGAAAGACAAGGCTTTCCTCCAGTAGTGAGTCATAGTCTGGGAACCCCGCAGGGGGAAGCAGTGACTCTGCTTTGTCCTGTAGAGTCACTCTGTGAGTCAGAGCTGACCCAATGGCAATGGGCTTGTTTGTCTGTTGATTTGTGGTGGTTTATGTGTTGGCCGGGTTGACTACACGAACAAATCCAGGGGCACTCATATATGTATAAGAAGGAGCCACATATCAGAGAGTATTTGTACATTCAGGAAACAGCCCAGTCCAGATCAAGTCCCTGAAGTCCGATACTAGCCCTTAAGTCTGATACTGGTCCTTAAGTCCCTCTGCAGACTCACACAGTCACGCAATGATGCGGAATGCAGGAAGATCACAGGCCAGTGAGTGCAAAGTCTTGTGGATCCAGTGCTGGTGGCAGCGGGGCCCTCGCAGGTCTCAGCATTGCTCCACATGGCTCGTCAGCAAGCAAGTGATAGCACAGCAAGCAAGTGATAGCACAGAGAGAATGGAGCCGGCCTCCAGCGAGCCATTCTTCTTGGTGGCCCTCCAAACAAGCTGCGACCTGATTCGCAGGCTAATCCCTGCCGAAAATGTGCTTGTAGAGCCATGTTGGCACACAAACCCTAAGTATCACATTTTACTTCTTTATAATAAGGAGTCTTGGTAACATAGTGGGAGGTTCCTTGAGCTGCTACCCACAACATCAACTGTTGAATCCCACCAGCTGTTCTGCAGTGGAAAAGACGAGAGCGTTTCCCTTCTCATAAAGATTTACAGCTCCAGAAACCCACAAGGGCAGTTCTACTCTGCCATAACAGGTTGCTCTGAGTCAGAATCAACTATGACTGTGAGTTTGAATTTTTTTTAGTGACTTAGTTTACCTTGGTCAGCTGTTCACACTTAATCCACTTTTGTGCTACCTTTTTGATGAGTGCATTATGGAACTACATTGCCCGATGTTGAACTACCTTGCAAGATATAAACACAAGAAACTCCATTTTGGAAAAGAAATGGAAGTATACTATTTAGGCCCAGCTTAAATGTTGCGCCACTGCCAAGAACCAACAGATGGTGTGAAGAGCCGCCCCAGAAAGTCTAGGGGTCCTCGATAAGAGTTGGATGGTTGCCGCGGAATTTCCAGAATGACATCAAGGAGCCAGCTGAACTGCCTACATAAACCCGGGTAGAGACTCAGACTTTTCTGAGAGCTAGGAACCAAGGAGACATCAACTGCTGCTCTCTCCGACTCTCCCCGGGGTGAGTACACTGATAAGGCAGTGCTTACTGGGACTAAGATGCTGACATAAGAATGTAGTGTGTTGCCCTGTACCTGATAGTTGTTTTAAATAATATTATAGTTTGAGTTAAACGTTAAGATTATTAGATTGTTTGATGTGTGTTTGCAGTGAATAATGAGATTGAACAATAATGTTTAAAAAGCAAATGAAATA